TGTGTGGTCTTAGAAAAACCACTTCCTTCTTTATACCTGTTTCCTCATCTCTAAACTCAAAAAGGACAGATAAGTCCAGATAGGGAGTGACAGGACTTGGCACTAGATAGGCCTGATCCAATCTTGAACCCTGACTTAGTGATATGAGGCAGGTTACTTGAACCTCTTGACCTCAGTTTTCTCATCTATAAAATTGGACTAAAAAGAACTACCTGAATTGCAATCAGATTGCACATATTCTATGCCTAGTCATGGTATTTATCACATTTTTTTCTTAACTTCCCTTTTTGTTGACTGGATCTGAGTGACAGGCTGGTCAACTCAGATGGAATAGTAAGTAGTTTCACTTGAATTTAGCAACAGGCTTTGAAAAACTGATATTAACATGAAGAAATATTAACTGATATTAACATGATAGAAATTTCCACAAATGTAACATAAAACTTTGCCATCTTTCTGAATGTTGGATGAGGTCTAAGGGAAAGTTGAAAGGAACGTTAGACTATGAGGAACTTTTTGAGTCTATCAGACATATCTGGTTACAGAAGGGCCTGGTGGAATCTGACTGGGTAGTGCCAGGAACCAAGGGGTTAAATTGAACCATTTTAGCAGATTGGCAAGGATCATCCTGGCTGGGTAATTAATGCTCCATTTCAGAGGGTCAGTGATGCATCAAAGTTGTTAATTAGTTTTATGAAAACAGATTGTGCAACCACAGGGAAACTGTAATTGGGTAGTAATTGAAAATAACTCAGTGGTGAACCTTAGTTGAGTGAATCAGTTGGGGGTTACTTGGAAAGAGACAGTTGAGGTGGTGGTGGGGAGTGAAAGAACAATAGTAAGAGCAATCATAAATAAGGCATAATTTGAACAAAGAAGGCCTATTCTGTCCTTTTTGAGTTTAGAAATGAGGAGGGAAGTGGTTTTTCTAAGACCACACAGCTAGTTAGTGGTATGTCTCTTGTTGTCCCTTCAATGACATTCCAAGATTGTCAAGACTTTTAGAATTTGACTAGGGGGAACATGAACTACATACTTAAAAGATGGGTTCTGGGCCCTCCCTGGTGACACAGCAGGTTAAAGCACAGCTGTATAAAGCAATCCCAGCACTGCAGTTTGAGATCGATTCCCAGCCAGGGAGGTGACCCTCATGGCATGGCAGACCTCTCCTGACCCTCCCACTGCTCCCCTCAGCAGTATATTTCCATTGATCTGCCTGTTCTGCGCCCCACTTGCTCTGAATCCTCTCACTCCCACACCTCTGCCTATATCCCAGTTCTTGTATGCAAAATAAATAAATCTTTACAAAAAAGATGACTTCTGAAGTTAGAGTTCTGGGCCTGTTCCAGTTAACAGAGTATTTACCCTCAGGAATGTCCCTTGATCAAAAGAGAGAAGAAAAATAGTCTCTGAATCTTGTCTCGTATATATATATATATATATATTACCCTTGATATGAATAAGATTTGAAGGATTTTCCTTTGCCACATAGGTCTCCTTCATACTGCTGGAGAAATTGCTGGAGAAATCCTTCAAACTTCCATAGCATATCATCTTAGGAAAGGGCAGTGAATAGGAAACTTGTTTTTTTTGGTTTGATATTCATGGAGGAGAATTTTTTATGAGCCTCAGTTTCACTTGGAGTGGGCACGTCTGTTTTGGAACTCTGGTGGAAGTGGTGGTGGAGTGTGTGAAGACACAACTGGAAATGAGGAGAATAGAGAAACTCACAACCTTGCCTCATTCAAATTTAGCCCAAATACGAGTCAAATCACTGTCCTCACAAACAGAGAGATAACCCTCTGAAGCCAATAAATGGTCCACCCTACAAATTTTGATCCATACCCTTATTAACCTATTCCTTTTGGGTGGTTACATGTTCCCTGTTACTGTTAATCAGAAGGGAAAATCCTTGAGTTAGCAATGGAACACCAGGTGTGACTCAGCCATTGAGGAAGGTTGACACAAGCTATGGTGACTATTAATCTCTCTTCCCTTATCAGTCTGGCTTAATAAATATGGTATCTCCAAGGACGAAGTGTACTTACATGGAAACTAATCAAGAGGGCATTTAGGACTCTTTGGACCAAAATAAATTGCCTGCTCTTGAAGTTCACATAATAGAACTGTTGTGGTTTTTCTCTGCTTAGGGAGCTTTCCCCTCATTATCCTGCTCATTCCTCTCTCCTTTCACACTAGCAAGCAACAAGAAAGAAAGAAAGAAAGAAAGAGACTTCAAATATCAGGTGGAGACATTGCCTTCACTGGTAGCCAAGTTTTCCCAGAGGTTTTTGAGTCTTTCTTTATGCCTCATTGCAATGGGTTGGTGGTAACAGCTCTGCCTTTTTGTGCCTGTGAACCAAAGTATAGAGAACAGCTGGGCCAAGTACATGAGGTTCCAGCTCCCCTGCTCTTTGGCGCCGATATAAATAAGCTCTACTGCAGCCACCATGTTTTCCAGTGAGCAGAAGGAAATACTTATCAGTGGTGACTGGTTTTACAAATAACATGTATTGTTTTCTTGAATTATAAAAGTAAATATGTTCCTATTGAGAATTTGAAAAGCTCAAAGCAGCATAAGGAATAAGTTCAATTCCTCATAATCTACTTTGTGGCTATTTTGATAAGTTTGTGCAAAAAGCTTTTATAAGAAGATAAGACTCTCTTCCGTAGAAATCTGGCTTTCTTGTTTAAAATATCTTTTTTTCTTTTTTCATCTTGTATTGTTATTATAATCTTCTTCATTTGCTATAAAGTCAATACTGATAGTTAATTTATAATACATATCCTAGTGACTCAATTTTCTAGGTAGAGATAACACAGGTAACAACTTTTAATAGAATGTTTTTTTGCAGTACTGCAAACCAGTCTCAATGGAGAGTGTAAATTAAGATAAACTAGGAAAGAATTAAGTTTTTAAGAACAGTTTTTTTCTTAAAGGAAAAAAAATGCAAGTAACTTTAACGAAATTTGGAATGCAACCATATACTATGTATCCTGCACAAAGTGAGAGAGACCTATACTTAGGACCTGGTGTTTTCTGGAAAGATGATTGCCAAATGGTCTCTGGTTTTTACCTGTGGTTGGTGGCTCCATTGTGGTGAAAATGAAACCACCTCTGGGGCCTTCATCGTCACTTGTTTTCTTATTAATTATGGGAAAGCATCACTTCAGCATCGTCTTTCCTAATTACATTGCAACTCATGTATTTAATATCTCCTGGCAGAATCCTTGGGCAAAAGGAGGAGGGGAAATAAAATATTTAAAACTTTGAACTAAGTTCAGGAAATAGGTGGGTGGACCTCTTCTTAGTCTGTTGGCATGTGATCTGTGGGCGGGAATTTCTTTTTAAAGCAAGAACAGTACACTATATTGACTGACCATGACATCCGATGTGATGGCTGCAAGAATTAGAGTGTAGACAAGTGTTCTTTGTCTAATGGAGTGAATAAAAAATGTGTATTAACATGAGTGGCCATTTTTCAGGGATAGAGACATGTGCCAAAGCCTATTGAATTAAAATTTTTAATGCATATACATAAAACTGGCCTGTGGATCAGAAGGGGTCCATAGGGAATGTGTGTTATCCAACTCTTAAACTTGTGTTGGAGGCAGAAGCAGGGTGTGGGAGGTTGTACAGAGAACAACTGTTGGGACACAAGACCTGTGTACCCATCATTGGTTTTCAGAATCTGTAGTCAGTGGCAAGAAATTTTCAGGCCTTAGGATATAAAAGAGGCAGTTGTGTACTCTGTATGTGTTTTACAACTATTGAAGGTAATTTTCTGAAGTCAAGGTCACTGACTTCCTGGTTGAGAAATTTGATGTGTTTCCTTGACATGTGAGTGAAGTCACAAGGGTTCTAATGAGTGGTGATTAATGGCTCTGGGAAGGGTGGACCCTGGACCCTGACCTGTGTGATCCAGCCATCATTCTCAGATTTTCATCCATGGTGGAAAAGCCAGTAAGAAGGTCAGCTCAGTGAACTAGGCAGGAGCTATCACCAATGCCTATTAGAGTTCTAACATGGAGTAAAGTGACCCAGCATGTGAAGCTGAGTTGAGTGCCGGCTTTCTCCCTGTGTGCCTATGCGGGACCTTTTTCATTTCATCTGCAGAATGGGGAGATATCACCTCTCACTTCTACCATCTCCACTGTGTACCCTGGTCCAAGCCATGATTACAGCCCATCTGGCTGCTGCAGTAACATTCTAATTCCTCTCCCTAAAATCCATTCTCCACACTTCAGAATGGTTGGCAAGCATATTCTCTCCCTCCGAAACCACCCCCTTTGCTTACTTTATTTCCTTTCTGAGTCCACTCCAGAGAGCAAGCTTCCCAGTTTCCATTATGTCCTGAGAAATGATGCACTGGCTCCATCAGGTGGTCCTCACCAGCTCCTCCCAGCTGCTTTTCCCTCTGGTGTTCTGTTCTCATTCTTTCAATCAGTTTTATTTAATTCGTGAGTTAGTTTGAAATGGGAGTCAGTAACCTGGGGTCTCTAGTCTTCGTTCTTGCCACTTACCAGTTGGAGCCCTTAATTAAGAAAGCCACTTAACTTACCAACATAGTTTCTTTCCCAATGAAAAGAAAGTGTGGTTGGTTTACTAGAGAGGTATTGGGAGTTATAACCTCACCAGGACTTTTGGGGTGGTATAATTCAGTTTATAGGGGAATGCCTAGATATTATCTATGACCTTTTCCAGCTGTATAAAATTATAAGTTGGAATTTCCTCTTCACACCCATGTCAGTTCTACTTGGGAAGTGTCAGTTTTCTCCATATGCTTCCTAACCTTTAACGCTCAAATATATTTTCACATATTTTTGAGGGGTTTATAAGTGTATGTGTGTGAGACAAAATATTATCAACTGTTGAAATGGGAGGCTTTAGTATAACATTAACTACAACAAAAAAAATAGCATCTGAGGTGTGGGACTTTGTTTTTTTATAATTGTTTTTGAAGTGATAATTCAAAAAAAAAATTCATTTTCTCTCACAGCTGGAAACTGACAAACTGGCTCTCCCAATGAGCCCCAGCCCACTCAGCCCCAGTCCTGTCCCGAGCCCCAACACAAAACTTGAGAATTCCACTCTCCTGACAGTGCAGCCCTCCCCGCTGGATAAGAACAAGGGCTTCTTTGTGGATGAGTCTGAGCCCCTTCTTCGTTGTGACTCCACCTCCAGTGGCTCCTCGGCTCTCAGCAGGACAGGCTCCTTTATTACCAAAGGTAAGACTGCAGGCAAAGTGCACTTACTCTCTGAGCCTGTCCCCAGAGAACCCTAGGGTTCTCTTACTAGTTCCATACCTCAGTAGTCTTTGATTTGCATGTGTCTGTGGAGGGGAAGGGGTATCGTTTCAGTGACCTGCCAGGAAAACCTGTCCTGTAGGACGACTGATAAGGCAGACCTGAGAGAGATCTCATCATTGGCCCAAGCGGGCCAACCCAGAAAATGTTTACAGCTCCAACTACCTGGCCAGGGAGCCGGTGCCCTTTATCTTCATGATGCTATCAGTCGTGTGTTTCGGGTAAGGTCTGATAAAATGTAGTCTGGCAGGTTTTTTTGAAAATTATTTACCAGGTTTGCCGAGTCCTGGGATTTAAAGTATAACCTTTCCTGAGAGAAATATAGATTTTAGTGACTCAAATTGAAGCTTGGTTCCAAATAAGAAGAATGTTTAGACATAATGGATTGGTACTTTTGATAATGATTTGCCACGTTTAAGTTCTTAATAACCAGGTGGGGAAATAGTGCACTATGTTGACAACAGACTTTTGATAGGTTATATTTTATATACATAACATTTATATTAATTTCTTTTCTACTTGTGGTTTATATTTTGTTATATATTTTAGAAAAAAGCTTCTTATAATTGTTGTAAAAGTTTAAGTTCCTCACTGCACTGTTAATATATGACCTAAGAGACAATATTTTCTTATATAATTACTGCAGTATAATTAGAAAATCAAATAAGTACACTACATTGGCTTGGAATTTTTGAGGAAAAATGAATTTTTGAGGAGAAAATGAATTTTTGAGGAAAAAATGGTGGGCTACTATCTTTAGTTGGTAGACCCATTACAGATGTGCAAAGTAGCAATATTTCAAGTTTGTAGAAGTATTTCAAGATCTTTCTTCAAGCTAAAAGAATTTTCGAGAAGTGACTTAAGTTTAGGCAAAGATCAAGTTAATGATGCATCCATATCCCATTCAAGCAGGTTTCTGTCTGTTCTTCCTTAGTAAAAACTCCTGTGTCTTTCAAAATGTGTCAGAGGGTCACTGACTCACCCTGCGGGAGGGTTGGGGAAGTAGGTGAGTAGGTGGCTGTCACTCGTGGTTCACCTGAGTCCCCTCAGGACTGACCTTTTCTACCTCTCCCCTACAGAAAAGAAGGACACGGTGTTGCGACAAGTACGCCTAGACCCCTGTGACTTGCAGCCTATTTTTGATGATATGCTGCATATTCTGAATCCCGAGGAGCTGCGGATCATCGAAGAGATTCCTCAGGCTGAGGACAAGCTGGACCGGCTTTTTGAGATTATTGGAGTCAAGAGCCAGGAAGCCAGCCAGACCCTCCTGGACTCTGTTTATAGCCATCTTCCAGACTTATTGTAGAACATGAGGGATACTGCACTCTAGAAATACTCAAATTTAGTGTCAGGGTGGTATTTTTTTAAATTTTTGTTTTTTGGAGGTGTGTGCGTGTTTTAAAGAGTCTATGGCCAGTGTTCTGAGGTTTGTTTTTTTGTTTTTTTTTTTTTGTTGTTGTTGTTGTTTTTCTTTTTTCAGTAATCCTTCTGGGAAATTAGTGTATAAGCCTTTTCAAGGTGTAACTGTTGCAAAATACATACCACTAAAGTTTTTTAGGTTCTATATTTTCTCTGTTTTGCCTTTTTATGTATTTTCAAAATTGTTCTGTGCACTTTAAATTCACTTAACATACCGCAAATGCAGTGTGACCTTTTCTGCACACTGGATTTTGAGGCTCTTAACTTCTGAAAAGTGTAATGGCATCTTGTGAATTCTAGAAGCAGTCTTCATGTTTCAATATCGGCATCTACTTATCTACTTTTTTTAATTATTACTCTTTTTATTATTTGACATTTATGACTTTTCTTAAGGATCAAGGAAATGTAAGATCTGTTGAATTTCTGTAATGCTATTAGATTTTGAGTTACTTTATCGATATGCCTTGTTGTAGAGTTCATATTCATGGCTGAAACTTGACCACACTGTTGCTGTTTTCACCCGAACACCATGTAGAATGCTTTGATTCCTTGTGCTCCTCTTACACTAATATGCTCTGGGCTAGAGACATGAAATCCTCAAGCCATCAGGACTTGCTGTTTAAGTGGCTTGACAACTTGGCCACCAAAGAACTTGAACTTCATCTTTTAGAGATCGAACTGTTCTGGAACATGTTGCTGCACTTTGGAAAGTCATAATTGAGTGTCAGTGACACCTTTTCATAGGGAATCTGCCCAGTTTTGCTTTAAAAGATGTCTTGTTTTTTATATACACATAGTCAATAGGTCCAGCCTACCCTCAAGGCTTTAGTCTTGATGGGATTCTTTCATCAATCATTTTAATTAAAAATGGCTGCAGCTGTAAGAACTCTTGTCTGATATATTTGCAACTATGCTCTCATTTATAAATGTACTCTCTAATGCTCAGTTGCCAGATTCTAATGCAAAGGTGGCGTGGACTCCCTTTGTGTGGGCGGGGTTTGTGGGTAGTGGTGAGGGACTGATATCGGAAAAATGCCTTCAAGTGTACTAATTTATTAATAAATATTAGGTGTTTGTTACTTGAGTAGTGTGAGTGCATTTCATCCTGGCCTTGTATATGTGTTCTAGTTATAATTATGGTTGATCTCTTGCAAAAATATGTATATTTTTAAAACCGCATCCTTTCTAACCCATAAGCCGTACAGGGTAGCAGGGATTTATGTCCAGTAAAGTACCCAGTGATCCAGACAGAAGGACTAACCAACCATTGAAGATGATTAGATGTTTCCTAATCATTTATGTTAAACCCAAGAATTCTGCTCTTCAGTTGTCCCTATTTTTAAAAGTGAAGGTTTAATGTGGAGAAGCACAAATGATTAGGTTTTTAAAGCATGTTCTTACTCATTTTCACCTAGGAAATTTACCACTTATGGGAAGAGTCTACACAAGATGACAGGGCTCTTTGTGCAACCTCATCAGCTATAAATGACTTTAGGGGCCTTTCTTGCCATAAGACAGGGCAAAGTCTTATATTGGTGGGGTTGATCACATTGCACTACATTTTATCTACTGTATTTTATATTTCATCATACATCTATCTCCCTTAGCTTGGAATTCCAATTGTCAGTGTCAGCAATTTTGGTTCCTCTTTCAGTGAGAAACTGGAAGTAGAGACCCTGTCTGGATACTCTGACACCCATGTCAGCAACACTGAAGGGATTTTCTGATTTCATTCACTTCAATATGGTTGACTTAATCAACCATCCGATCCGGCATGGGGGCTCATGGTTCTCATGTCAGATTTCCCCTCTTTTTTTGTTGACAGAAGACATGAATTCTTTCCAAGAGAAAACAAGCTAGAATGGGTCACAGGCAATAGTTTGTATTTCAAACGAATTTTAGGACTGTCACTTATTTTATGTAGGGTGGAAAACAGCACTGGAAAGTCAGCACTGAGGTTGTTAAGTTTGTACATTATTCATAGCCTGGAGATGCTTCTGTTAATCATTTACACAGCTTTATACTTCAGAAAGTGCTATTTATATTATCTTATTGAATCCTCACAACTCACCTAAAAGGTAACAAATATCTTCTTATTGTGCCCATTCTGTAGATTAAAAAATAGGCTTTAGAGGACATGGAACTTGTTTACCACCTCCGACTTGTGTTGTCTGATCATTTTAGGAAAACTGATAGCTTTCCTAAAAAAAAAAGCAAACTCTTGGGCCCTCTCTGGTGGCGCAGCTGGTTAAAGCACAGCACTAAGAAGCTAAAGCCACTGCAGCATGAGTTCAATCCTCGCCTGCCCCAGAGGTGACCACATGGCGTGGCAGACCTCTCCTGACCCACCTGCTGCTCCCCTCAGCAGTGTACTTCGTCAATCTGCCTGTTCTGCTC